GCCGCCGCTGCTGCCGCCGCCGGGTGAGGAGGCGGCACCGCTGCCGCTTCTGCTGCCGCCGCCGCCGCCGCCGCCGCCGCCGCGCCGCTTGCAGCCGCCTCCCGACGCCCTCCGAGGCGCGCTCACTGAGGGATCTGCAAGGACGTGCTGGATCTTGGCCAGATTCTCGAGAACTTTTTCTTCCCTAGAATTTCTCGTTTGATTGAGGGATGTTCTCAAAGGGTTCACAGCCTGGACAGGGACACAAGAATTGCCCAACTGCTGTCTGCGCGCAGCTCCTCCGAGCCTGTACACGGGCCCAGTTCACCAGCAGCCGAACGAGGCGCTCCTGGACCCGCCCCGCAGCCTCCACGCGCTCCCCAGCGAGCCCACCTGAGGGCTGCAGCCGCCACCCAGCTGGGACCCTCGGGGGAGCGGAGGGCGAATTCTGTTCACACACACACCGTTTTGTCTTATAGTGTACATGGTACATTTCAGTTAGACCAAAGAACTGTAAATTATTGTGATCTAATCTGATTGCTCACCTGAGAAACAGGGCTGCACTAGACTGCGTCTTGCACTCCTACTGTGCGGGCGCCCCTCTAACGTGCCGCGCTTGGCGCAAGGGGTGTGCTTCATTCTCCCTTCCTCATCCTCACGCTGGCACATAAGTAGAAGGCTTTCCTCAATAAATTACTCATAGCCCGAACTCCCTCTCTAGCTGCTGCTGGTGTGTTTACTTCAGGAGGATTAATGTAAACCTCCAGGAAACAGATCACCTGGCAGCTGTTGAGACCTTACTTGCTCTCCACCCCGGTGGGTTCCCGAGTCCTCCTGGCTCACAGGATTCTTGCAACAGTGTCCCCGCCTGGTGTAACAGGTCTATGCTCGGTACAACTTAGCCAAGTTCATCGGGAACCGCTTTATAAATCTGATCAAGTCACTTGACTTAAAAACCTTGAGTTGGCTCCCATTGTTTTTGGGATAGAGTCCAAAATTCTTACAGTGCTGTACAAGACCCAATATGGCCTGGGCCACGCTTACCTTTCCAGCTTCAATACCAGGCTCCTTCCAGCTATGTTAGCATTCTCTCAGCGCTTCAAACACACCTAGCTCTTTCTAGTACCAGGGCCTTCACACCTGCTATTCCCTCTTCCTGGAAGTCTAACCCATCCTCCACCTTTCAACTTAGACCTTCCTCAGGAAAACCTTCCCGCATCCCCAGGACACTGAGGCTTCCTGGCAGACACTGCTGGCGTCCTCGGTTCTTCTCCACAGCACTTTATTAGAACCACTATGTCATTACTTGTCTATTGTTAGTTTCCCCTGCTAGATGGTAAGCTTGAAGCCTAATTTCAGTGGTGCCTTGCTACAAATTACAAAACTACCTCCTGTATAAAAACATGAGGTTTGCTTTTTCTCTGGATAAATCTAATTAGCTAATATAGTTGCCTCAATTACCAGGTGAATCTAAGATGAACCATGTATGACAAATGGTGCTGTCGCATCCTCTTACTTGTGGACTAGTTGTTTATCTTGAGAACATGTATGTAATGGGTGGTATCTGCTTGGCTATATAAAAGGATGAGATTCTCTTTGTCTTTGCAATCTTTTAGCAGATTGCCTGTGAGGCACATCACATTCTGGTTTAATACTTATTCAATAAATAAACTGTTTTTTCTTTGTTTTTTTTTTTTTGTTTTTTCCTTCACTAACATTGTGGAGCTGTTTTCTGGTTTGGGAGAAGGATATTGGTTTTAATGCTATTTCCCCAACAGGGGCACTGGAAATACTTGTCACAGGTATGAATTGGGTTGCCATGGGAATGGGAGAGAAGTGGAATCAGAAACAGACTGAGGAATGTTTTCTGACATCATACTTATAAAATCCATATGAAAGAGTCCCTCTTTGAACTAGTCCCTCATTGCTCAACTCCTGTGGCATTATGAGTACAATAATGATCACTAAGTCCCCTAAATTTCTACCCACTACATTTTATCCTCAGAACCTTAAGGGGCACAGCTTCCAGGGGACTGAATCCAGCACCATAATCAACATTTCTGTATTCATGAATCAATACGTAGTTACCCAGAGGCAAATTCAGAGGGAGAGAGAGATGGTCCTAGATTTATGATCGCGTTACAGCCTGATAAACCCATTGTAAAGCTGAAAAACCATTAAGTCAAACCATCATAAGTTGGGGATTGTCTTTGTGTATATATAAATAAATAAATTATACACACACACACACACACACACACACACACACGCCCACACACCATTTAATAAAACAGCCTAATAGCCACTTTGATTTGGTTATTTACTATTCATCTGTCAAACGATACGTTTATCCTACTTATGAGAACAACAGACACAAAAAGATGCTTTGAAACATATCTATTAGTCACCTTTATCAAACAAAAATAGAGAAAAAATTGAAGTTAAAGAATAAGATTCTCTTCATGGGAGATAATAAGGTCATTTGAAATTCAATGACTGATAACCCTACAAAGATTTCCACCAAAAATCTCTTGTTTAAAAAAATTCTCTTATAAGACTTATACTTTCTGGTCCAGCATGTAAGGAGCTTAGAAGCTGCCATTCCATCCTAACAACAAGTAAAATGCTGAGCAAACTAAAAAACAACCGTTTTTCAATCCATCAGAGAAGCAAGGTCACAGGGCAAACCACTCCCCCCAAAACTGGAGAGATAGGTGGATATAGAAAATTACAGCTAACCAAAGCAGAAACGCACGAGCAGGAACTTCCTCTACATAAAAAGCTGGGCAGGCAAACCTACGCAGTAATTGATGAATTGCTGCAGGCTCTGTGTGGACAAGTCTGAGAGTTAATAACTCCAGAGGCTCCAGTCATTGGAGGAGCCCCACATTTTTTGTGAGTTTTACCTCCAGGAGCTCTACTAGATCCTTGCAGTAAATAATGGAAAAAAATCCCCTCATGGTTCCAGCAGGGGGAGGGAAAAAGGAATCATTTTGAAATATGTCAGAGCATTCTGTTCTTAACAAGGCCTGCCCTCAGAAGAAACTATTTTATCGTAGCCTAACCTATCTGGTGAAAGGAAAATACCTAATTCCAGCCCCCTCTAGCCATCCTGTCCCCACCTAAGGGGGAAAAGACTAAGAAGCACTGGTGAAGTACATAGTCCAGTGGCAGAGGGTCACAGACTGAGATAATCAAAGCACTATAGAACACTTGCCCTTCCCCCACTCCTTACCACCACACTACTAAAGGCCCAGTACCAGACTCTTTCACCCAGTTCATCATGTCCAGGTTTCAACAAAAAATTACAAGCCATACTATAAGTCAAAAACACAGTTTGAAGAAACAGAGCAAGCATCAGAAGCAGACTTTGATGTGGTAGGTATGTTGGAATTATCAGACTAAGAACTTAACTATGATTAAGGTGCAAAAGCCTCTAGTGGAAAAGTAGACAACATGCAAGAACATATGAATAAGGTAAGCAGAGAGGTGGGAATTCTAAGAAAGGACCAAAAAGAAATGCTAGAGGTCAAAAACACTGTAACAAAAATGAAGAATGCCTTTGATGGGCTTATTAGTAGACTGGACACAACTGAGGAAAGAATCTCTGAGCTTGTGGGCATGTCGATAAAACTTCCAAAACTGAAAAGTGAAGGGGAAAAGACCCCCCCCCAAAACCCCACAAAAAAGCCCGTAGAATATCCAATAATTGTGGCACCACTACAGAAGGTGTAACACACATGTAATGGGAATGCCAGAAGGAGGAAAAAACCAGAAGAGATAGGAATAGAAGAAATATTTGAAGCAATAATTACTGTGAATTTCCCCAAATTAATGTCAGACAACAAATCACCATCCCAGGAAGCACAAAGAATACCAAGCAGGATAAATGCCAAAAAACTACACCTAAGTATATTATATTCAAACTTCAGAAAATTAAAGATAAAGAAAAATCTTGAAAGAAGCCAGGGACAAAGCACCTTACCTACAGAAGAGCAAAGATAAGAATTTCCTCCAACTTCTCCTCAGAAACCATGCAAATGAGAGGAGAGTACAGTTAAATACTTAAAGTGTTGAGAAAAAAACCCCTCACCAACCTAGAATCTTTATCCTGCAAAAGTATCCTTCGAAGGGAAGGAGAAATAAAGACTTTTTCACAAACAAAAATTGAGGGAATCAGTTGCCAATAGACCTGCCTTGAAGGAAATATTAAAAGAAGTTCTTCAGAGAGAAGAAAAAGGATAAAATTCAGAAATTCAGATCTACATAGAAAAAGGAAGAACATCAGAGAATGAATGTCAAGGTTAAATTAAAATGTTTAGTTTTCTCATTCTTAATTGATCTAACAGACAATTGTTCAAAATAACAGCAACAATTATTCAAAATAACAGAACAATCTAACAGTTGTTCAAAATAATGGCAACAGTGAATTTGATTATGTATGCATATATATACTTATGAATGTTTAAGTGTAAGTTAAATGAATGACAGCAA